ATTTCCTAAAGAACTTCAAAAGCACAAGCCATAAGCAAAATTGTGCTAACATAAAAACTAAAGATTTATGGTTTAATGGACATGGGAGGCCATGGCTAAGTTAGCAGAAATGGCACAAAAAATATTATTTACAAATCTAAAGCTGATATGGAACTAGTAACCAGAATACCTGAGAGCATCTACAAAATATGAAAGACATAGCAATCCCAATAAGAAAATGGACAAAGGGTACAAATGGGATGCCTAGGTCTCATAAGCTTTATGTAAAGAAACCTAAACTTCAGTAGAAATCAGAAAATATTAAATAAAACGAGCACATGCCTACTAGATTGTCTAATATAACTAGCAATGATCCCACTAAAATGTACATATTCCAAAGAAATTCTTCGAGAGGATATGCACAAGAATACCCACAATACAGTGCGTTTTGATGCAGACAGGGGCCCATCAAAGGAAAGCAGGTAATAGGACACATATCAAGGAACCAAGTAACATTAAGAAGCTAGAAAGCAGAAATACATATACACAGTAATAGATACCTAAATCTGTATCTAATGTGAATGGATCTTAAAATCAGAGTCAAGTTGTAAGCTGAACAAGATACTCAGGCTCTAATGATTTATCACAAATGAAATGAATCTGTATTTCTTCCAATTCTGTGCAGTTCTCACAAAGTACAAAAATTGCAGAAATGGTTAAGATCAGTGAACCAAATAAACTGTAAAAGACCAACTCTAAATAGAGTGGCAGTCTAGCAAAATTTCAAACTCCAAATAAGTCTACACTAACAGACATTAAGTTTCCACTGTTACACACAAAAACCTTAGATGAATTTTAAAAGTAGATACACCTGCAAAATGTTGATTACAGCAAGATAAAATTAGAAGGATGGAAAAGAAGATTTGTACCTTTCAATGTATCCTGTTGGTGTGTCTACCAGACCATCAAGTCTCTCTTGAAGGGCTGCAAGAATCTGAGGATTTTGCATCATCTGAACAGTCAGCTGACGCGCTTTAAAAAAAAAAAAAAAAAAGGGCATCGAAAGGATTTTATGAAAATGTTTTTCATAAAAGTCTTCCCAACTGGCCCATAAAATCTGGCATAAAGAATAGAAATGAGCAGGGAGCTAAAGAAAATACATTCTAGGAAAACCCAGTGTCTAGGAAAGTTCAAATTCCTAATGACCTCAGCACTTCTCAAGAGTACTTCCACAATTACTATGACCAACATCCCTTCTCTTCCTAGTGCCTTCTGTTTCACCCACCTTGTACTTTGGGAAGCACAAAGCTTCATCCAGATGCCTATCTATGATTCTTGATAGTCCTCAGAAGGCAGACAATACATATCTGAAAACTACAAATATAATGAGCTTTAAGCCTGGGACAAAGATGGAGAGTGACGTGGATGCTTATGTTTGATGTCTACGCAGTGCACTTGTGTGCAGACCAAAAAGGTAATAATTGACACAAAGGCTATAACTAAAGCCAAACATACTAGTGGCTTTTAATTCAATCTAAATAAAAGCTAAGTTTATGCAAAACAATCACAATGGTACCACCTTCATCAGTGCAGAGTATTACATAAAGTTGCCACTGATTTTCCAAATTATGATCATGAAGGATAATTTACTTCTGCTTTCACTCAGTGACTAAATGACATACACCTGTAATCATTACCAAGCAATTAGAAGCATCAATAATGGCCACCAAGGACACACAGCTCATATCTGTTAAGAAAACATTGAAAGATTAAAGCTGTAAGTTCATAAGTCTTATAAATGATTTCCATCTGACTTAAAAAGAAGTCATCTGATGCTGCAATATTCTTTGCCCAGATCTAACAGGTATTGCCTCAACCAGTACAATTCCTCACCACCACCAATACTCCACAAAATTACCTGTTGAGGTGAATTTTGAATTACATTGTATTGTAAATAACAAGCATTTTTTTAAAGAATGGATTTTTAAAAGACATACTACATATTTTCTACAAGTTGTACATTAAACATTGTTTAGAAGCACTACAATTAAGCCCTCAGTGACCCTTGATTCCCACCACCACCACCATTTCTAAATTAAGATAAAACAGTTGTCTAAGGCACAGATATGTCCTATCACCTTTGCAGTTGAGGATTCAGTGACTTGATGTGTCACATCCATGTCTTCCTTTCTTCTCTCTTACACTAAACATGCACACGTAGTTACTACACTGAAGGTACAAACAAGTAGATAAAGGACAGAGGACAAAGATCCAGAAGGAAATGGTACTTCCAACTCTCCTCTAGATAACACATGCCAGCAACCACTGGCTCCTGAAGTAATTTAAAATAATACCTTTGATTTTTGTTTCTTCACCAGTTTCTTCTTCTTCTACTTCTTCAACATCATCCAAATCTTGATCAAGTTCAGACTGTTCTTTGCTACAATATCACAGCATCACACCATGGTTCAAATGTACCAATTGCCAAAACAATATAGCAAAACTGAAATTCATTTTTAAATAAACGATTCTTTCAAAGATGACAAGAAATTCAAACGCTAATTCAGGTTTCTAAGTTACATAAACAAGTATTTAAATTTTCATTTAAAAGCATCTAGCCAAATGTAAAATTTACACATCCAGATTTTAAAATGTGATTTTGATACACTTTTCAGAGAATGTGACATCATATACTTTTGATATAATACCCAATGACTGCAGTCTTATTGACTGCTAGTTTCTTCTTAGCTATCTCCAACGGACTACCTTTCCTAGCCTACTCTGCAGCTAGATGCAGCTGACTTTTTGGCAGATTTTTTTGAAAAACAACAACTTTGAGGAAGAACGCTTACAATATGTCACATAACTAGAAAGCCTCTTTCTGTACTCTGACCCTCCCTTCCCTCTACAATACAGACTGACTGCAGCGCCAAAAGCCCGTATGATGACTCAGCATCCTAGGAAATGAACAGCACTGCACCACAGATGAAGGAGTCAGGAAAACAAAAGGGTCTGGACCTCTAATGATTAAGAAGCAACTATACCAGTCTGTACTATCGACTTTCCCTTTGTTTTATTTCACAGAAAAGATGGTAAAGAATTGAGCCCACTGAGTACATTTCTTGCTTAGTGCAAAGCTAGGAGAATGGTGCCATTTATTTAAAAAAATAGTAAAATAGCATCCCTCTCGCTATTGTCTTAAAGAGAATCACAAAAATTATGTTTGGAACATGAATTTACATCGAGCATCAAAAAAAAAAAAAAAAAAAAAAAAAAAAGGATGTCAGGCATCATACTGCATGCCTATAATCCCAGCACTTATAAGAGACTGCTTCAGGAAAATCACAAGTTTGAGGCCAGCCTGGGCTATATACAGACCTCAAGGCCACCTTGAACTCCATAAACAAGACCATTTCAAAAAAAGTGAGGGGAAGAGGACACGTAAATTCAAATAAACAATTCTTGATGCTTGCTTACATTTCAACCTATGAATCAAGATATTTTGCTTCCATGTCTAAACAGCATCTGAAAAGTTTTTCCTACACAAATATAAGCTTTCATAAAGGAACAAGTAAAGAAAAAGTATTAGGCTAGCAAATTTAGGTTCCTGTCTGCTAATGAAGTAATTTAGCCATCCATTTATGCACACTTAAGAGTTAAAGGTCACTGCCAACACCCCAGAGCAGACCTTTCTCTAGTACCTTTAATCGTTTACTGAACATCCAACATAAACCTTCAAAAAAGCAGGTACCCACGAATGATGTATATGACCAACCCAGCCCACCTATATTTTTGTAAAAAAAAAATTCATTCATTCATGTACTGTCTACTGCTGCTTTCGTACACCCTACTTTTGCAGAGCTCAGTAGTTAAACTGCAAGAGCCTTAAATGTCTAAAATATTTACTCTCAAATCCTTAACAGAATTTACTGACTTGGTCTAACCATCCCTTTTTTCTCGCTCTCCTCTGGCTAACAGGCATCCAAAATTAAGTAAGACAGGGAGAAATCAAGGTACAACAACCAACACACTTGTTTTCTAACTTTTCAAAAACAAAGGCTGCACAATGTGTAAGATTTAATCCTCCCAAAATCTTTTTAAGTAGAGACAAACATGGAAAGACAAGATAAGAGCAGCCAAACTTAGAAAGCTGGAAAATAGCAGTGAAATCTAAGCTTGGGAAGAACTGAAGGGCAGGCCCACATACTTTCTTCAGTGCCAAAAACTGGCGGCAACATCAACACTTACACTATAACTAGAACTAAAGATGGCTAAAATAGGGAGGACTACATAAAAGCTGTTAAGCAGTTCAATACTGAAGTCCTCTCCCAAACACTAGCAAAAATATGGCAGTTTCTTCTCTAGAAAGAATTAAGATTCACAACTAAACCTAGGGACCAGACACAATTTACAATAACAGCAGTGTTGTATATACACAACACAAGACCCTCCCTGTCTGCCTTCTCTTCACCTGTTTCTTCAACAGTAGAAGCTAGTCCTCTACCCAGACGATACACACTGATCAGATACTCAATGATCAGCTCAGAAAAATATCACTCTGACACTGGCTGTTTTCCTAACAAGTGCCCACTCTGATGGCCCAAAGTACTGAGTTCACCTACCCAAACCTCAAATTTTCCAATCAGCTTTTTAAAAAAGGTCCCAACAGTCCCTATTCTCACCCCCAACATGAGATAACCAAAAATGACCTCACAGGTAGGTAAAGTTGAGATAGAAACAAAAGGAAGGAAATTTAAGAGCAAACAGATATGAAGATGAAATATCTTTTAAAAAAGCTATTTCCATCAATGAAACAAGAACAGAATGTTATAAAAACAGGAACAAAGAGCAAAAAAGCTTCCAAAAAGTAAAGCTGTACTTATTTTAAAACAATCTGAGTGGAGGTTTCCGTGGCTCTGACCAGAAATAAGCAGAGATAAAAATGGAAAATATGACAGAGATCGGATTTTTAAAGAGACAATACAACTGGAAATTTTCAAAACCCAGAGTAACTTCCAGAAATATGTATTTTTTTACATTATCACATATAAATTATCAAGAATTATGACTTTGAACTTCATAGCAGCACTGGAAGCAAAGTGACAATGGACATAAGTCTGATCTCTCCCTCAGAATTTTATATCCAAATTATCAAGTACAAAACAATAGCAGTCATTTTCAATCTTATCACACATCAAAATAACTTACTGTGTCTTTCTACTCTTACAAGAAGGCAGGAAAGAACCAAGAGAACAAATATAGAATACAGCAAATTGAGGAGAAACAAAAAGGAAACCCCAGGAAGACAGTAAGGTAGCCCAGCAAAGACAGCTCTCAACCAAAATTAAGCAAGCTGGATTACAGTAGTATGACGCACTTTGACAACAGTATCACTAAACTGTCTGGTGTCTGTTTTTTTGTGCCAAAGACAGCATGTATGTACGGTCCCAGGAGAACCTGCTCTAATTCTCATGCATACTTAAGACATACTGAATAAAATTTACTTGTAGTATTCTGCCCTGCCTCCCTCCCTTAACCTACTGAGGTGGCAGACTACTATTAAATTAAACAGCATGCAGCTTATCCCATTCTCTTAAACCCCATTTCTCCAAGACATCCATCTAAACGAACAACCAACTACACAACTTACTTAAACCTGTGTTTACCAGGATGACTATTTCTCGATACATTAACAAGCCACATCGCACCTCACTCAGTAACACCTTCAGTGTGGAGCCCTGAGAAGCCTCAGAAAAGTTCAAAACAGATTATGACCCAAATAGTTTCTTTTGCTTTTCATTGCCCTATCTTTCAAACTTTCAATATAGTGATATAGCTTTATACAGCTAAGTTTGTGCTATGAGATCTTCAAAAGTAAACATTTACGAAGAACTGGTAATAAAGAAAAGCAGAAAAAGGAATTAAGACAAAACGCAGTATAGTGCTTACAACTCCAGAGATGAAAGGCTGAAAGACGAAGAATGTAACTGAGAAGGGGCACAAAGTGCTTCTAATAGTAATGCTCTATCTTTGTTATTGTTCAAACTCTACTCACAGATTTATATGCATCTTGCATCTACAACACATTACAACCCAAGCGGAAAATATTTGGAAAAAACATCTATACGTATGTATCACACATATATATATATAGTAAAGTAAGTCTAAATATTTATTATTTAACACACCACATTCCTAAAGAAAAACACCGACAAATACTTTACCTACTTTTGATGCTGATTACATACACATCATAGGTTGGATACACTGTACCTAACTATTAAAAGCAGAGAACCAAGCAGTCATCATTATACATTTTCGTAATTGATACTGCTAATAGCACAAAGTGATGCCAAATTTCTGAAAAAGAATCAACAGGTCAATCTGTTACTTACTTGTCAATGTCTGCCATGTTGTATGTAAAAACTCCAAATACCTATGGAGAGAAACACCCATGTTAAAAAAAATCATGCAACATACAAGATTTTTCTTCTACCTGCTAAAAATAACTTCAGAAAAATTGCTTAAAGCAAGTTACACTAGGCTTTCAAATAAAGTGTTACAAAGCCCTAAGAATCCAAAATTAATTTGATTATACAAAAGGAACAGCATTGAATCTTCATTCAAAATCTTTTTAAGTTTCTTAGTTTCTCAGAACAAATTCACATCATTTTAAACATTAATTTATCAAACTGACAGTTTCAGTATGTCCCTGGGCGTCTTAATTTCTTTATCAGGTCAGTCTCCTATACTTCATGATACTTATGAAGTTCTGAGCCTAGCCTATATCAGGTAAGCACGCCTTCCTTATCTCTTGTCATATCACTGATCATCAACTACCACTGCCTCTCCTCAGCCTCTTCTAGGATGCTGGTATGTCATCAAAACACCTTAGCAGATCAGCACCCCCACGACATTCCTTCCCACCAAAAGATTAAAACTGAAGAGAATACTGCTTTCAGGAAAACAAAACTTAAGGTAAATGTGTTATATTCAGGTAGAAAAACTGTTGAATGTTTTAAGTAATAACAGATTGGCGGGGGTGGGGGGACCACTAACCCAAGTTTCATTAGAATACCATATTAAAATCAAATTTTTATCTTTAAAAAATTAAAATCTTGGTATTGAATCCACATAATCTCACATTACTCATTTAAGTAACACATGTACTTATGGACAAAAACAACCAAAGATGTTAGGCCTGGTATGGTGGCACAGGCCTATAATTCCAGCACTTGGGAGTCCTGAGGCAGGAAGACTGCTGCGAGGATGAGGACAGATGACTGCATAATGAGTTCAAGGCCAGCCTAGATCAGTAAGTGAGATACTGTCTCAAAAAATAAGTAATTTTCTGAAACTTTTATTACAGTAAGACATACCGTAATTAATCCCTCTTAAAATACTCTTGTTTTGAACATTAAAAGTCCTAGAGGTTCAATGCTCATTACTGCCAAAAAGTTTTTCGGAGAATTTTTTTTCCCAACCTTCACACTAAGTTAAATATTTCTTGGTTGTATAAACTCCTACAAAGTTCCATTTATTTCCATCTCAGGTATATAATTAAAATTTAGTGTTAAATTCTCTCTCTTCCAACTGACCAAACCATAAGACTCACAATAAGAGGAATTCTATAGGCTTTTGCTAATTTTTTTTTCTGGGTGGTACACAATACTCATTCATATGTAATGTAATAAACTTGCTGCTACCATGGAACTTGTTTACAATAGAATGCTTTCTAGTCAAAAGTCAAGCAGCTAGAAGTTGACATTAAACCAAAGCAATTAGGATAGATATATAGTTATATTCTCTTAATGAGTAAAGGGAATTGTTCTAATGGTGTTTGTAAACAGGATATCATGTTTGCATCTTGTACAGCAAATAACCACTAGGAAGAGTATGTAATGTGTTAATTATTGAAACTGTCCTACCAATTTGATTTGAAACTGTCTCAATGCTATATGTCTCTCAATAAAATTATGGAAAATAAAAAAAAATAGCCAGTTACTGAAATAATAAATAAATAAATAAATAAAAATAAAGTCAAATTACAAGAGGTAATGAATCACTAGGCTCTTAAATATTTGTTCTAGATTACATAATTAGAAGTCTTTATCTGAGAATCTGTAAATTGCCATTAGGAGAGTTACAACCACAGCTTAATAAAGAATAGTTAGTTTGACTAACAATACCAATATTTGAAAATACATATATGAGGATCACAAACAGCTCAACAGCAAAGAAAATCTGACTAAAAATAAGCAAATGACTTGAACAAAATTTTTCAAGAAGTCATACAATATATCTGTATATATAAATTAGGATAATATACAGCTACTTTCTTAGTTCAATGAGAAGATTTGTACTAATAGTGTTTAGGCAAGATATTATGTCTGTATTTTGTACTATGAACAACTACTACGAAGACAATATGCAATGTATTAATTATTGTAACTGTCCTACTAACCTGTCTTGAAACAGTCTCATTGCTATTTCTTCATCAATATTAATAAAATTAATTTTTAAAAAAACAAAGCAAGAGATACATGACAAAACTTTTAATATAAAGGAATATATATATATATATATATATGCATACTTCCATATAAATAAAATCTTTCCATATATTTCATGGTGCTAAGGAACTGGCTGTGTATTTTCCACCACTGAGATACACACTCAGCTCCCTAAACAAAACCTTTCTAGAAAGGCCTGGTGGTGCAAGCCTGTAATCCCAGCACCAACCTGGGCTGCAAAGTGAGCTCAAGGCCAGCCTGAACTGCTTTGAGACCCTGGCTCTAAAAGACAAAAAGGACAGCCAGTGTCTGGTATCTAGTAAGAACTCAATAAAAAAGCTGTTTTCAATCTGGTCCACTTTGAATTATCCTTAGCATGTGATTGGTTGTTTTGCAAACTAACTCAGTAAGTTAAAGAAGACTACTTTTAGTTTTGACATTTTTGAATTATATTACATAACATTTAATTTAGGAGAAACTAGGTAAGAGGCATAAAGGAACTCTGAACAAACTGTTAACAACTTTAATTTTTAAAATTACAGGCCAGGGAGATAGCTCAGTGGCTTACATACCTGCCTGGCAAGTGCAAAGTCCTGAAGTTCAATCTCTGGTACCAAAAAATGAAACAAATTACAAAGATTCTTAGACCCCAGGTCCAATTCTGCATCAACATATCCAGTAAACCCAAAAGCCTATATTCTAAACAAGACTCCAGTTTTTGGGACAGAATTCTCAGATAAGCCAGATCAATTAACACAGACGTTTACTTAAACTTTCAAACAATTAGAATCAGTGAGAAGTCTGTCATACATGAAATTGTACTCCAAAAATGTGTGGAAAACTTCCACTCTTTTCTGAGGCAGGGTCTCACTATGCAGCCTAGGCTAGCATCAAACTCAGTGATCTTTCGGCCTCGGCCTCCCAGGTGCTGGGTTTATAGGCTTATGCCACTATACCTGGTTCAAAACTTAAAAGCACTGAAACCCTAGTGGACAATCTAAAACTGAAGGCAAAACAGGAAGCTACTTTAGCCTTGTGTTTATCAGCAAATGTGTTTTAATCATCTTGTGAAGTAAAAATTCCATTCCTGTCCATAAGTTCAGCATTTACAGAAACCATCTGAAGAGCTATATTCTCAGAGAAAATAAACCTAGACCAGTAGCCCAAATTCATCTCATTTTCACTGCCTTCCCAAACCCAACTATGCCCTAAAAATGCCCTGCAAGTGTATCTGCATATTCAAAGGTAAGCGAAAGGTACACCTTTACCATGAGTTGCAAATAATCCATTCAAATAATTTTCAATAACAACAGAAACTATTACTATGAACATAATGATTAAATATAATTGTCAGGGATGGCCAGATAGCTCAGGGGACTAAAGTGACTGCTTAGGCAGGCACAGAGTTGAGGGTTCCATAGCCAGCTCGCAGTGCGGGCCATGCCTCAGGGGCACACTCAAAGGGAGACTGACACTGGGTGTGGTGGTGTGCACCTATAACCCCAGCGCTTGGGAGGCCGAAAATAAGAGGATCACTAAAAGTCCCATCTGTGTAGTGAAACCCTGTACTAAATACATAAAAATAAATAAATATTATTGTCAGACTATAAACAAACTCCAGACAAAGAGCCATAGGTTCAACTCAGCAGCAAAATGTTCACCAGGAACAGAACAGGCCCTGAATTTTGCAGGGGGAGGGAGACGGAAGCCTCAGACAGATACCTGGCTGTCCAGCTTGGTCAATTAAGCTAAACTGGGAGGTAACAGGTGGGTCCAGGAAGCCACTGCTTACTGTCAGAAATAAGGAGTGAAAAAGGAAAAAGCCATTTTAAAAGGTGATAACAGCAAATTTAGAAAAAAACTAAACTGAACTTTCAGCGGTAAAAATAACTGACATCAAAGCACTCACTTCAAAACCACTAAATTACCTGGATGAGTGGATTAGATATAGCTGAAGAGAGAATTAAGGGAGCAGGAAGGCAACTTAGAAGAAATATACCAAAATATGGCAAAGATACTGAAGGCCGGAAAATCATGAAATACCTTTCATTGTTTCATGACTTTCCATCTTTTTGTCTATGCAATATAAACAAAGATTTCAAACAAATTATAGGAGCAGAGAACAAGACAGAATACCGCTAAGATTGTCCAGAGCTGCTAAAAAAATGCCAACTCTGACATTCAAGGAGCCCTAAAAATCCTCAAGATACATAAAAGTAAACACATTCAGCTGTTATCAGTAAAAAAGCAAAAATGCCAGAGACAAAAACATCATTTCAAAAATACACACACAGAAAGGGCCGGGGAGATGGCTCAGTAGAATAAGTACTTCCCTGGCAAGTGCAAGGGCCTGAGTTCAATCCTGGGTTCCACCAAAAAAACCCCAAACAAAAAACAAACAAAAAAACCAAAAACCTACACACAGAAAAAGCACTTCAAAGCCACTACAAGCTGAGCATGGTAGCATACACCTGTCATTCTAGCACTTGGGAGGCTGAGGCAGGATTGCTGAGCTCAGGGTCAGACTGGACTACATATTCTGAATTGAAGATCAGCCTGAACTCACAGAGCAAGACCCTGTCTCCAAAAATAAAGATTACAGAAGTCTCTGAAAGTTAAAAACAACAACGACAGATTAATATACGCAATCACATGCTCTTCTAAAGGCAATACAGATACTTTTAAGATAAGACACCTTTGGGCTGGGGATGCAGCGTAGTGGTAGAGCACTTGCCTAGTATAAACAAGGCACTAGGTTCATTGTTAGGTATATCCTTCAAACAGAAGACACGTGATTCCAGATAGACAGAAATGAGAAATAACACCCGTACATATAGAGATTTTTGTTTTAAGGCATTATCCCATTATGTTACCCAGGCTGTTCTGGAATTTCTGGGCTCAAGTGATGCTTAAGTCTC